GCAGATGGCTGCGAACCCTGAGTGTGCCGCTGCGTCTGTGTGAATCGAAGGTGAGTGCTCTGAAAGTGGGGGAATGAACAAAGAGATCCCATTCCAATCGGCCAGAAAACTATACCACATGTGTAAATCCGCCCTAGCCGGATCGTCCAACACGATTGGGCATGAGTCGGGCACACCGTGGAGCAAGTTGAGAAGCCTGGGGACAAAAGATCTACCCTGTGGAATGATGCGCATAGCAAAGTTGAGGGACCCCAATAAGGACTGGAGGCTCCTCCTAGTGCACGCAACACTCCGCAGGAACAGGACAATCTCGTTCTTAATGTGGGACAGCTTGTCTGGTGGTAAACTGGCTTGGAAGGTAGTGGTGTCGAGTACTATGCCCAAGAAAATGAGCTTGGTGGAGGGACCGAGTGTTTTGCTAGGTGAAAAAAGATTGGTGGAGTGTATGCAGTGAGGGGATTGTGAACCTGGTTCTATCAATAGAAAATCGTCTAGGCTGTGGATGACAGAGGGGCACCTGATTATATTTAGAAGCAGCCAGCAGAGGGTTTCTGCGAAGATATTGAATAACCTGGGGCTGCTGCTAGAGCCAAAAGTGAGCCGGGAAGCTAAAAAATACCTGTTTCTCCATTTAACACCGTGGAAGTGCCATAGTGAGGGGTGAATAGGTAGTAGTTTGAAGGCGTTTGTTATATCTGTTTTGCTCAACCAAGCTCCACTACCTGCTAATTAGATGGCCTCCATGGCATCATCAATTTTAGCATATTGCAGTGAGAACTCCGTGGCGGGAATGAGGGAGTTGATACTAGGAGTGGAGGAAGAGTGAGGTGCGGAGAGATCAATAATTAAACGTTTTTTGTTGAAGTATTTGTGAATGGCTATACTGATGGGATTGGTACGCCAAGATGAGAAAGGTGAAGACAGAAATGTGCCGATCATAAAGCCGGCTGTGATTTCTGTAGACAGAAGGTGGTCCACCGTGAGTGGGTCAGCGGAAGCAGATAAAAGGTTAGGGCATTCAAGTGTACCTGTGGGGATGGCGATAAGGCCTGTGTGAAACCCCTGTGAAAAAACAGTCAGCAGATAATCTACCAGGTGCCTAGCTGGATGTGACTGGAGATAGTATTCCAGTATGTCAATGTTAACTTCGGTCAGGTGTTTCTTAGGTGACAGAAGGGCTGGACAAGTGGACTTGGTGAGGGTTCTGAAGCATACGGAGCAGATGTGCAGTGCCCTGCATGTCGTGAGATTACATACCCCGGTGTTAAAGTCACTGCACACCCGAGCCTTGCCCAGAAATGTAATGTGACTGTCCGGCGTGTCACTCTGACCGGCACCCTGACTAGTGTGTGGGGGGGCTTGGGGGTGAGCCATGGGGACTGTCGTGCTAGTGAGCGTAGTTTGGGAGGTCAGCAGTAGGGCCATGGAGTTAACGTCCTTACTCTTGGAAATGCCCTTTCTGATGAAGTCAGGGACAGGGTGAGCCGGGGAAACGTATGGAGTGGGTATGGCTGAGACCATCAGGGGAAGGTTTGAAATTTTTGGAATGGTCCAGTATCTCAGAGACCTGTGGGTAAAAAGGGTGAGGGATTTCTTCGGAGACCCAGGCCTGATTGGCGCGCTGGCTATGTTGCCGGATGGTAGATTGGTGATCGGCTTTTGTGACATCTGAAAGAGAATAATGATTTGAATAAGTAGTGTGAAGAGGAGGTGAAGGTGAGACCTCTGGAGAACTGGCCTGCTAGCTAGTGCAGAGGCGAAAAGTTTACCTAGATCAAGTGACAGATGAGGCCCTGCTAGTGCCAAGTGGCGGAGAGAGGCTCTACCTATGATTTGGCCCGAGGGGATTTTGTGGCTACATGCACGTGGTGGCGGGGTGTAGGCCTCTCAGTGACCATAAAGAGAGTCAAAACGTGTGGCCGTGACTTGGGAAGCCCTGGCTATAGCCCACAAGAAGGGCGAGCGAGGTGGCTAACTATGATTTGGTCGTGGGCCGAACCTCTGTGTATGAGGTGGGAGTGTAGACCTTGCGGGACCGGGTATTAATTAAATAGCTAAGGCCAGAACCTAACCCTAGATGCCAGTTCTCTAAACTACTGGGGCTTGTCTCTCGCAGTGATGTATATGTACGTATGTAAATACTTAATCTTAAGTCCTGTTTGTTCGGACAAAGCACAAGTAGACTTCGATATGGCTATTAATTAGCTTCTGCAGGAAACGGGCTCGATCCAGAACCTAAGGGAAAAGGAGATGCTAGTGGGCCTGAGGCGTTCCACCGGTGTGCCAAGTGTGAAAATGTACAACGTATGGGTAGGTGTGTACCAGAGATACTGTAACGTAAGCATGAGTAAGCTGAGGGACCTGAACGTTGGTCCATAATAAGAGACAAGCCCCTGGGTATCCAGGGATGTGAATTTATGAATGAAACAAAGGCAAGTGAGGCCTTAATGAGAACGTAATCGTACTGAGGAAGATAAAATACCTGATACTGAATGCCAGAGACCGGGTAGCCAGTTGGTTGTTGATAACCTAGAGGAACTGCATAAAATGGCGTAAGTCTAAGTAATATTATGTAGAAACGATAAACAGGAAATGATACGTTAATACGATAGTAGCTCGGTTGAGCAGGTTTATGAGAGTAGTTGGTGTCTAGGTGGCATTTTTAAACTTGGTGTGTATAAACGTTTAGAACCCACTTTGGGATGTGGGGGTGAGGTTTACGCAAGGCCGTGGAGGCTGAATGAGGCCTCAGGAGAAACGTAAAATGGGTAAAAACTTTTTTACCTGATACCGTGAAACTGGAACCTGGAAATCACTTCTTGAAGATTTCTTTGAAAAGGAGTAGATGAACCTAAAACAAATCTTTCTAAGAAAGATGACCCGCAAATAGTATATTTAGGGAACAGATTAGTCATATGTATTACTGGTCTGAAATGAGCCTAGGAACCGGGGGGGGAGGGGGGAAGGAGGGCTGGGTGTTTGCTGAGTGACCCAGTGATATAAAAAGGGGTTAAAAGGCCAACTGTTCCTTTAAGAGGGTTACCCTTGTGTGGAAACCGCAGAGTGCTGGGAATTAGTTCATAATTAAATGTAAGGGTGGGTCAGGAAATGGTGCCAAACGGCCTTTGATATATGCAGGGGTTAAAACAGAGTATACACTTTAAATATAAAAAAGGAAATAGTCATGTATAGTTTCATACTGGGGTATATAGAG